AGATGAAATTTGGTAAGAAGATAGTTTTTATCCCGGAAATTAACCCATAGGAGGGTGAAAATAAGGACGAAAGTATGGGGAATCAACCAACGGACGAACTCGAGCGAAGCCAGGGCGAGTCGCTAGTTCAATAAAAATTTTTTGAAAACAGTTTTTTATATACAATAGGTAAATTCTTTTCAAACATTATGTTTTGCTCAAATTTTTAATAATGATGACGACCGAACTTTGACCATTGGACGAATACTAGCTAATATATCAGTCATAACTATATTTAAACAAAGAAATAGATAAATAGAGGTTTATTATGAAAAGTAAACAAAACGGTCACAAATCAAATAAACGTTTGTTAGTATTTAATAGCAGTACTACTTTAATTACATTTTATAATCGCCAAACTGATATGGTTATGTAAATGTTTGTACAGATAATAACATGTGTGTAAAAGGGATTTATGATATGTTTTGAGATATTAACACGCTTTCGTTTTGTTATTAGTTAGAGATTGCATCATTCCTATTTTTCCCCCAATTCTAAGGTTACAAGTTTTTGAATGGAGTATATTTACATAGAGTATCAGAAAAAAGGTACATTTTGTTATTTACTTCTGTAATTTTAATTAATAAAATCTTCAAAGGTTCACTTTTGAAGATTTTTAAATCAATTAAATAGCCTTCTAATTACACTTTTATTCACAACAAATGCACACTTTATATAAATATATATATATATATATATATATATATATATATATATATATATATATATATATATATATGTTAATAAGAGATCTAATATTTTAAATAATATTATGCTTAGCATAAAGAACTTGGTGCAAGTAGTTCTAGATATGAAAAAAAAATACAGTGGAATTGAGAACCTCCTCCTTTTTGAAGTCGGTTGAAAAATATAGACAATATCAAGAAGTAAGCTACCGCTTTGTTTCACAGTTGTTTAAATTACATTTGACAGTATTACCAGAAATATGAAATGTACTCTCATTACAATATTCAATTATAGCACCACCTGAACGAATATAATGAACTTTATCTGATTATAACTGTCGAACATTTTGTATGAAAGCTTTTGTGTTTACAATAATTAAACGTTTTATTTATAACTAGTCTCTTCCCGAGGTTCCGGTTCTGTGAGTAATAATTTAAAACTGGTATGGTACAGCAAATATGGCTTAAACTCTTTTTGCTTCCCCAGACCTAATAGTAGCTTATGTGTTATTACAGATCATAGTTTATCTGTTACAAAAAAAACATCCAAAATAGTCCAGCCGTTTCAGCGTTAAGGAGTAACAAACATACAAACACGTACAAGCTTTTGCATTAATAACAGTAGTCCGATTAAAGTTGAAGTATTATAATACTTTCTTAGATTTACGCGAATATTTGACATTTTAACACGTTCGCTGCATTACGAGATCTATCTGATCTCTTGCAGGACTTTTGTACTGTGCGTTGACTATAATCGTGTTGTTTCACTCCTTGCGGGAGGCTCTAACGTGTGTGTAACGTGTGGCTCTTAAAGGTGAATTCGAGGACATAAAAAAAATAAATAGAGATGGATTAGGTCCCTAACGCACAGTAGTATAATTATTTTTATTCCTTGCGTTAGGAGACATGTCGATACTCGTGGAATCGTACGCCTCGTAGACGCAAGAAAGGGAGGTTAGGGGGCGCGGGCGCTGTGTGAATCGGTTTAGTGTTGTCCTAGTGTCGACGTAGGAGGTTGCGCGCACGTTTCGAAAAAGTGTAAAAAAAATTTTATTTAATATATTTTATTTAATTATTTAATAAAATTGTTTTATTTTGGTGAGATTTCTAAGAATGAAAAATCAACGCTGGATTATAGTGCTGCATCGTCCAGTATAATTACAATTTTGGAAAATATAATGCTTTTTATTACAGAATTCCCCGAAGGAAGATGTACAGATCATGTTTTCCAACGTGGCGACAAAAAAAGACGTTGTGTGGGTTGTTATGAAAAATTACGATGCACATTAAACAGCACTGACGCTTCTAAAAAAAGCTGAAAAAATACCATTTGCGCGCAATGCAAATAATCAATGTGCTTACTATGTTTTAATGAAAAACACTTTGCATAGTTTATAAATAAACTTCTTTAATAAAACTTTTTCAATCGACAACTGAGATATTATTTTATTCCCATCACTATTTACTACACATATTGAACTATCTTCGGTTGCGGTACGAGATACAATCGATATCTAATTTTTTTTTTGGTATTTGTAGCTTATTCTAATGTCATAACTGCGTGCGAACCTAGCAAAATGTAGAGCAATAGGCTCTCTTGACCCACAAAAACTTTAAAATATATGTCATTAGTTTTTTGGAAGATATAAATTATTTTCAAAACTGTATTTTTAGGAGACTGATTAGGTCTCTAACGCACCAAAGGGTAGGCTAGTTTCGAGATCTTTTAGGTCTCCGAAGCACCAGCTGAAAGTTCTTTCAAAATGATGACGCAGTGAACGTGTTAAATAAAACTATCTTTTCGGATTTTGTCGCGGATTTATTTGTATTTTTGTTTCCCGACGTTTCGAATGCTTTACAGCATCCATGGTCACGGGAGAGACTGAGGTGTTACATGTCTTAAAGATATAGTTGTCACAGACAGCCTACCCACAATTAACAAAATGAAAATTGCACCAATTACATTACAATATTTTAACTTTAAATATTTTTATAATTTTAATTATAATTGAATATGGAAAATTATTTATTTAATTTTTGCTATTATTTTTATAATTATTACAATTTTAAAAATATTAATTAGCAATCTATATTTAGTGTTGCCATTATTATATTTATAACCATAAGAAAAATATAAAATATAGAATTAATTATTTAAGCCACAATTGATCTATGTGTAATTTGAAAAAGTTAAGATTAATTAAAAAATAATAATTTTAATTTAAATTTGCTATTATTTAAAAACAAATTATTAAGCAACACATTACTACATACATTTACAAATGAAAAAGTGAAAAAATATTATTAATCAGAAATGCTATCATTTTGATCTACACAGTAAGAACTTACTACATCTACCTGTCTGTTATGTTTAGATTTATTATTAGATTTTATTATATTAATAACAGGATCCCATGACGATGGTAGTACCCAGCCATCTTCCCTATTGAAATTAGGATGTTTTTTAATTTCTATGGCTTCTCGAATCATTCTAGGGCGATATCGGTTTTCTTTCGCCAGGATTTGAGGCCTATCGAAGCGAATATAATGGCTTGGGCGGTCCTGACTGTGTTTGCAGACAGCAGATGTTGTATTGCGACGGTTGAAGTATTATTTTCGATATTTTGAGTATTAAGTATCCAAGCATCTTCGCAAACTTTAATATATATATAATATACATAACATACGTAATATACACATATATATGCTATAGTTGTTATGTCACAATGACCGTATATACTTATATCATAACACTAGCATTGCCCTCGGCTCTGCCCGCGTTCAGATGACCAAAAACCAAATTCTTAGGTTTTATATATTAGTATACTCTTACATTGTATTTTTTGTATTTTTTCTCAGAAATGAGATATTTTACCGCAGTTAAAAGTATCCTACATGTTGACCCGGATAACCACCTACCACCATACCAAATTTCATCAAAATCCCTCCAGTGGTTTTTCTGTGATGTGGTAACAGACAGACAGGCAAAAATTCTAAAAAATATAGCTTCGGCTTCTGTATCGATAATAATGTATATTACAAAAAGATTTTCCAAAAAATATCTAATTTACAGATTCGGCTTAGTTACAATTTTATTATATGTATAGATATGTAAAGAGACTTATACAGATTTTAGATAGTTCATATTTAATACCTGCATGGCAAGACGAACATATAACAAACTTCATTACTCTATATATTTTTGATATATTTCTTACATTTTACAAGCAAAAAATAAGATCTTATAACATTACACTTAATTCTTGGCAGGAAATTGTTCCACAACGACTTTCGTTCCACAGCAGCGACAATCAAAAAACCTCTCTATCCTTAGAAGGGGTTAAATTAAGAGTCTTTGAAAACTAGCAAACAAGATTTTAATACGTTTTTAACATAATTGGATAGAATTTGTAGGAAACTGTAGTTCTGAATAAAACTTAAATTCATCGTGACTCGATCGTCTTGCCTTGATAAAATTAGGGCTTTCGAGCGCCTTTGGTGCGGATATCTAAAGAAATTGCTAATTTCGCTTCTTTACCTGATTCGGAAATATCTTGAATGCTATCGGTCCAACGTCCGGGCTATTTTGATTTAATTATCGCCTTTCTATAGGGCCTTTATTACAATATTCAGTAATATAAATTGTTATTCCCTTTTGTTAACCGACTTCTAAAAGGAGGAGGTTCTCAATTCTTCGGAATCTTTTTTTTATGTATGTTCACCGATTACTCGAAGACGCCTGAACCGTTTTGGATTTTTTTTGATTCAAAGGGTATACTTTCCAGGTGGTCCCATACTAATTTTATCAATATAATATTAAGTATAAGTTAGTTGATATTTTCTCCTGTTGTGCTTAGTGCTACGAAATATTATTTGTATGTTTGTGTGTTTAGTCCTTTTTAACGTCTCACTGCTGGGCACGGATCTATCTCCCTTTAACATATAGGAGGAGGTCAGGTCATAGTCCACCACGATAGCCAAATGCAGGTTGGCGGACTTAACATGTCCTTCGAAAATATATTCGGTTCTGTCAGACAGAAATATGATTTTATATAGATAATTTGGATACATCAGAAATATTCTTTATATCAATTTATTTCTATATTTTCATCTGTTTAATGGCTCAAACTAAATATATTATTAAATTTTATGCTCTTGGCCATTTTTTATATTATTTTAAGTAAAATTATAAATATAATATTATGAATTAGCTAAATACTCGTATGTATGGATATTTTTATAATACAATAATTAATTTGAAAATTTTGTTCCCAGGTTGTAGAAGATTGGAAGTTCATGTCGATGGTTTTAGACAGATTTTTCTTATGGCTCTTCACCATCGCTTGCTTCGTGGGAACATTTGGCATCATATTTCAATCTCCATCCTTATACGATACGAGAGTGCCCGTTGATCAGCAAATATCTTCTATACCGATGCGTAAAAACAACTTCTTCTATCCAAAAGACGTTGAAACTATTGGAATTATAAGTTAAGATCTCGTACATTAAAGATTCATATATAATGAGATTATTATTAAAGCACTCGTAAGGTAAAAATTTTCTTCCTTTATTTTTAATCTCCTCGTACTGAAGGCCTGTGCCCAGCAGTGGGACGTTAAAAAGGGCTGAATACAAGGTAAAAATTAAAAATCTTTATACTGTAAATTATGTTATATTAGATGATATTTATGTTAAATCCATTTAAGTAAGAGTTGTTTATAGTTTAATTTACATATCGTGATTTCTTGTTTAATACTAATGTAGATAGTAATGCATGGCGTTCTAACTAGTAATGTCCTTTTAAAGGGATAAGGTGTCTGGTGTGTGGTTTTCCAACTACATGGTGGAATATTTTAAGTCTTTTATAGGATATTTATGTAAATTTACAGAAAGCAATGAATAAAGTACGTCATGTACATTTTTTTGTTGTATTTGGTAGCTTTGTTACCAATAATGCGAAAACTACTCGCACAATATATAAGTTTGAAGTAAAAATTGATTTATTTGAAAATTTATATAAGTTATATTTGTGGCATAAATATTCGTAAATATACATTTAAAGCACATACAATTTAGCGATACGTAGAAAATTATATCTAAATACTTCTAAAATAGTAAAATTAGAAGTAATAATTTGTTTTCTTGGGTGTTGCATGTTTGTTGTTTATGGCTACAACGTAGTTTAAACTAACATATAAATAATGTAACTATTCTTATATTATTATTACATTTGATATGTTAAATACTTGTTTTTTCCCGCGGTTTCACCTGCGTGGTAACTGAAGCGGGGATAAAAGATAACTTATGTTCATTCTAGGGATGACCCTAGAATTGAATTTATGTTTTTGCCAAATTTTATCGAAATCTGTTCAGCGATTTTAGCGTGAAAAGGCAACAGAGTTACTTTCACATCTATACTAATATTATAAATTTGAAAGTTTTTGAGTTGTGTGGGTGTTTGTTACTCTTCCACGCTAAAACGGCTGAACGGATCTGTGTGAAATTTGGCACAGAGATAGATTATAGTCTGGAATAACACATAGGCTACTTTTTATCCCGGAAAATTTTACGGTTCCCGAGGGATAGTTTTGTTTTTGTTCTTCTAGAGGCGAACCCGAGCGAAGAGAGGGTGAGCCGCTACTTTATAATATTAGTATGGATTTACATGTAAATATTTGCCCCAATTAGGTAAAAGATATTTTACATTCGAATGTTATTTCCAATAATTTAATGGCTGTGAGTTATTATATATTATCTATGAATAAATTAACTAAATATGTTCTTATGTTAGAAATATAAAGATTAATCTTAAATAAAGTTGATATACTCATATCAGTGACGTTTTTTATTTCAAGTTGGTATCTCATTTTATTTCCTTCACTTTACTAGAAATATGAAGAATGTTATTATTATATAATAGGTAAGTAAGGATTTTTGGGGTTCCGTACTCGAAGGGTGCCAATGGAACCCTATTACTAAACTAACTAAGCCTTCGCTGTCTGTCCGTCCGTCTGACAGAGATGTATCTTATGAATTGTAATAGGTAGAGAGTTTAATATTTCACTTATTGTGTATTTCTATTGCCACTATAACAACAAATAATAAAAAACCAAGACGGCGAATTTTAAAAAAGGTTGCCATGCAAATTAAAAAAATCGGATTTACTAAATACGGAAACCTTCGTGCGCGAATCCGACTCGCATTTGTGCGATTTTTTGCACTCCTCGTCGTCATAAATACGGCTTGTTTGTGATAACTTTAAACCAGATTGAGTGAATAAATTAGCATTATAGCAAAATCGAATTCGTGTCCTCCATGAAATTATACAAATTAGTTGTTATATAATATGTTTTTTTTGTTATAGAATATTTTATAAGGCAGTGGTAACCCAGTGGTAACGCGCTCGCTTGGGAAACCGAGTGAAGCGAGTTCAAATCCCGGGTCTCGCAACTCTGATATTTTTATGTGCGGATCATATTTTTTTATGGGACTAAGGGGCAAACGGGCAGGAGGCTCACCTGAAGAAGTGATCACCGCCGCCCATGGACATCTGCAACACCGCAGGGCTTGCAGATGCGCTGCCGGCCTTTAAGGAATGAATACGCTCTCTTCTTGAAGGTAGCCATGTCGTAGCGGTTCGGAAAGACCGCCGGCGATAGCAATAGCAAATAGCATAGATAAGAAAAAATATTTATTGATGTATTTATATTTGAGTAACTGCACTTTACTGATTTTCATCACGATCTTTCTATCTCACTTAGGTTGACTGGAAGAAATCTCTTCTAGAGATAAGTCCACCTTAGCTAACAAATTTTATTATATGTTAATTTTTATATTTTTCATATAAGTGCAATAAAGTATAGTGTAAAATTTCACTAAGTAATAATTACTTATTCGAAGTATAGAGTATAATTTAAGTAAAAGCCTTTTACTAAATTTAGATAAAACAAATATTTTAAGTAAACATATACACACGAATATGCACGAAATGCCTCAAAAGCTGTTATGTTGCACCGACTCCGTGCCTCGCAAATATTGCCAGGAATTCCTCTCTCATGCCATGCTCGGAAACAATTTCTTAGATGAACTTTGTTTAAAGTTAGAATAATGCATAAAGTTTACAGTTTACTTTAAGGTGGACAAGTAAATTAGTATTTTAAATTATGTTTCATTTTCCACAAAATGTAAGTTTATTATTTTTGTACTCAAAATATGATAAAGATTTCTAGGTTAATGTAAAAATTTATGAAATCAGTGATCTCTACTGGTAGGAAAACTTTTGCTTATCTATAAAACAAATTTATCTAAAGGCTATGTAGAAAATTGTACTCCTAAAAAATATAATCAACTAGCGATTCACCTTCGTTTTGCTCAGATTCGTCCCTAGGTACATTTTAAATTTTTTGAGCGGAACCCTAATTTTTTTACTGTAATAAAAGTTACTCCTAATAGCATCAACTACCTGCCAGTGAAAGTCAGGTCAAAAACGGCCCAGGCGTTTTTTAGATTAGCTGGAACAAACAGACAGAGAGACAGACAAACTTTTTTAAAATTGTGTGTTTTTTTATATACCGTATATAATTCCATATGCATTTAGTAAAAAGCTGTCATTTTGACGTTACAAACAGACTCTTCCATTTTTTTATCTGTATAGATAGAAATTAATCATTTGTTTTTCTAAATGGCTTCATAACATATAATGTATAAAGCTTATAGTTAATTTTACGATATAGTAGTAATCAAATTACTACAAATGTTATAAACCGAAAGTTTGTGTACGTGTGTGTTTTTGTGTCTGTCTGTGGGTGTGTGTGTTTATATGTATGTTTTTTTATGTATGTACCTTCATACGGACATCGTTGGATAGATTTGGGTGAACTTTAGTACGCTAATAACTATGTACCTTAAGTAACACATAAGGCTATTGGTAAACAACTAGGGACCCGAACGAAGTGGGGGTAAGTCGCTAGAACTAATAATACCTCTTCGTCATAATTTAAAAATATTTTTTACAAATCAATGATATAATATTAGTATTGTGAAAACCCATGGAGTTGATTTCGCGGTTTTCAAGCAAGTAAATAATACAATATACTATCCTACTTCGCTACAAAAATATCTTGAAAATACTCAAGTCATGGAAATGAAATTATGAAAAAGGTTTTGTTATAAATTCTAAACCCACCAAAATTTATTCACGTGTGTTAGAGCCCAGGGCCTAGTAATCGAATCCGTAACCCTAGGTCCATTGGATTATTAATTATTTGGAAAATATAAAAATGAATTTTGAGGGGGCCGTCAGCTCTTTTCGGACAAATATTATAAATGCGATAGTTTTTGTATGTATGTTTGTATGTTTGTGTTTTCTCCACCCTAAAACGGCTGGATGAATTTAAAATAAGTTTTATGTAATAACATAATCTGTACTGTTAGGAACCTAAGGACGTTACCACACTATACTGCTTTATAAAATACAATATTATTGTCAGTTTCATTATAACTAGGGTCTTATATTAGTGGGGTGTAAGAAAAATTACTTCAAAGAAATGTATCAATTTGTTTTGGCATTTTTGTAAAATAAGGAAGATAAGATGTCGTGCTATAAAGAAGTGTAGTATAAGTAAGTCTTAAAAGAATAGAAAGGCAAACAATTTTTCTATTTAAATGAGGCACTGTCTGTAAAAAGTATATACTACTGCCTTCGAGAGATCTAAAACCTTAGTCTCTCCTGACCATGATTGCTGTAAAGCATTTGAAACGTCCGGAACCAAAAGTAAATCCGCGAAATAATCCGAAAAGATAGTTTTATTTAAATTACTTTAATCGTGTCATAGAATCATAATATATGTCAGTTTCGTATAGTTTTTATCTGTAACGGTTGTAGAAAGATAATATCATGTCTAAGTCCCTAAAAAAATAGGGTGGGGCTGTGTCGGGGCTTTTAGTGTTAAATATTGAAATGTAAAAAAAATTGGTCTGTGATATGGTAAATAAGAAACAAATGGCGTTGTTTGCTAAGCGTGCCTTGGCAGCTTTGAGACGCTCTCAGAACCTGCTAGCGCTCGCTTAGCGCTGGGCATTGGGGTAGATTAGGGGGGGGTCTAGGCCATGCGTAGCCCATAATCCCCTCTTTCCCATGGCAGCCATGATTTATATTTTTGTCTGGCTACAGTACGAGCTACGACCAACATATTGAATTTTTATATTTTTTAAACATTTCCTGGTTATTATTTAATATAAATTGTATCCAAACTACACATATTTTTATTTAAATGGACCGGTCGGAATACATTCTATAAACAGGAGAAACCGTTTTATTATATTAGTACTTAAATTCTATTCATATATGTTTTCTTCAAACGTTCAATAATGATTAGGCATGAATTTCGACCACTAAGTGTAAACAAACAAGATTGTATGGAAAATCTATACTTACAAAATTAAAATGTTCGACCGGTTTCTATTAAAGTGTTCAAGGCAAATTAATTGGC